TGGGAGAGGAAAAGCAGAGTCAGCTCTTGTGAGGCAGTACCTTCACCCCCACATGCCCTCTGCCCACATGGGCCTGGCTCACCTGTATGGGGGCTGACGACGCCACAGCTCCTTACAGCCCTTCATGGAGGAAAACACTGGGTGACCTCAAAGGCTCTCTCTGGGTCTGGGCAACTCACCCTTCCCCCAGCTCCACACTCACCTTCTTAAGGATCTCTGCCCAAAGCCAGGCCTTCACCTCCCCATCCCCAGCACTGAGCAGATGTCGATCAGTGGAGACCATACTGTAGACGGGTCCATCATGGGCTAAATGGAAGTACAGAACCTGAGTGACCCTGTCCTGCTCCTCTCGTCCACCCGGGGGTTCCCTAAGCTGGCCTCAATGCCTGCACCCACCTTGGAAGGTCACCATGGGCTTCTTACTTTCCTCTTTGGCCTCAGAGCTCAAAGCAGCAGACAAGCTGAAAGGAGAGGGGCCTGAGAGTCAGAAGAAGGGGGCATCAGCCCCAGGAGGACCAAGTGCCAGAACTAATGGATGGTGGGGAGCAGGGGCAAGGGTACCTAAAGATGGCTATCTGCCCGTAATTGTTGCCGGCTGCCAGGAACTTCCCACAGGGTGAGACATTCTGGGAAAAAATGATCATGTGCAGCCGCTGCAGGGCCTGAAATACTTCCATCTGTGGAGAGAGGCTGGATGAAGGCTGTCTGGGGCGTCTGGGACCCCTGAACCACACACTCCTTCCTGCTTCCCCTGCTGCAGTCCGGCCTCCCGCCGCAGTCCGGCCTCCCACCGCACTGACTTCTCAGTTCTCCTTTCTATAGCCCACCAAGCAGGCACCTGTCCATATAGTCCCAGGGGTGGCTCAAAGGAGGAGGTGAGAAAGGGGAGAGTTGAGGCTTGATGCCTATTGGAACTTTTGTTGACCAAGGACTCAGCCTCTCCTCCACGTTTCCTCAACTGTCAAAAGGAGCCCACGGGAGATTTCGTCACGATTGGATGAGCTACTGTATATAAAAAGCTTCGCACAGGGCTGCCTCGGAGAAACCGCTTAAAAAGTGGCTCTAGGGGCTTCCCTGGTGGCGCAGTGGTTGAGAGTCCGCCTGCCGATGAAGGGGACACGGGTTCGTGCCCTGGTCTGGGAAGATCCCACATGCCGTGGAGCAACTAAGCCCGTGAGCCATGGCCGCTGAGCCTGCACGTCCGGAGCCTGTGCTCCGCAACGGGAGAGGCCACAACAGTGAGAGGCCCGCGTACCGCAAAAAAAAAAAAAAAAAAAGTGGCTCTATTACTCCAATACAGAAAAACGTACTGACTCCTAATCCGTATCCTGACTTTCATGTTAGGCCCCTGAGGTATTTCTGGGTTACTCTCCCTCCCTCGGGTCAGAATCCGAGTCCCACCAACAGCCCACGCAAAACAGGTCTTGAGCGCACGACTCCTTGCCGGCCCCTTCGGAGCCGGGCATGGACTACAAACCCCAGAAAGCACCGCACATCGCGCCCCCTCACCTGACCCAGAGGCACCGCTTGCGGCATGGCTCGCTCCATCTCGAGAAATAAAAGTCCCAGAGTGCTCCGCGCGCGACGAAGCCTCACGAGACCGGAAGTGCCGGCGAGCGCCTCCCTTTCGCGGTGCGTCACCTACCCAACACCGGTGGCGGGTCTGGCGTGAAGGCGGCCGCCGCGTAACCCGAGTCCTAGGAGCGGAGGTGACCGCCAAGAAGGTCCCAACACTAAGTGGCGCCCTCCTCAACGCCACTACGCCAGGTCCCTTCCCCTACCTCCCCTCCCTTACCCCGCTGAACCGACCCGCCTTCCAGTCGCGTGCCGTCCGTCTTCCGCGCCCGCGCGGAACCTGGCCGCGCGCGCGCGCCTAAAGCCACGCCCACGCGTTGAGCCACGCCCTCGGAGGCTCCGCCCCTGTCGCCCGGATCCCACCCCTCCGCTCGCAGGACCCCGAACCCCAATGATCTTGCAGCAACCCCTGGAGCGAAGCCCCCAGGGTCGGGCCCGGCGCGACCCGCGGGCTGACTCAGGGGCGTCCCGAGGCATGGACGCGAGGTGTGTGTGGGGGCCCTGGGTGGGCCTGGCCCGGGGGCCCAGGAGCTTTGCTGGGCCCTCAGGGCTGGTCTGCAGGATGACACGCGGTGGGGTTTATCGGCAGGGCTTGGGCATGAGTTAAGACAGGATTGCAGACTCGGGACAGACTCCGAGGCAGGCTTCTGGATGGTCTGAGAGAGGAGGTGACTTAGGCGTCAGCTGAGACAGGGTTGGGCTGGGGGCTCCTGGCTGACGCTGCAGGCTTAGTTGGGCAGATCCTGGGGATGGGTCCAAGAGGGTGGGGTGCTCCTGGCTCTCTTTTCTTCCCAGCTCCCCTCTCCGAGGAGCTGTGCCCATGAGTACCAAGCGTCGCCTGGAGGAGGAGCAGTGAGTTTGGGGGCAGGGAGGGACTCCCAGCAAGCTCTCTGTCACCTCAGGTCCCCATCAGACTACCTCTCTTCTGAATATCCCAGGCTGCCTGCCTCCTCGTCTCTCCCCAGGGAGCCCCTGCGCAAGCAGTTCCTGTCTGAGGAGAACATGGTCACCCATTTCTCTAGACTCAGCCTGCACAATGACCACCCTTACTGCAGCCCCCCCATGGCTTTCCCCCCAGCTCTGCCCCCACTCAGGTAGGCACAATCCACTAGCTGGGCCTTCTGGAGGATCATACCCAATCCTCAGAGCCAATCTCCAGGCTCTGCCTCATCTTGCTATTTTTAGCTTCTAGCCAACCTCTGTTGTTTCCCTACTTGGCTCCTTGGAAGGTGCCAGCAGTCCAGGAGCCCCTGGGGACCTGTACCAGGTGGGGTGTGGCTCTGCCAGTCCAGCTTCAGCCCTGTGCCGTGACTGTCATTTCCTCTTCCAGAAGCCCTTGCTCTGAGCTGCTTCTCTGGTGCTACCCTGGGAACCTGATCCCTGAGGCGCTCCGGTTGCTGAGGCTGGGGGACACCTCTAGTCCCCACTATCCTGCAACCCCAGCTGGGGACTTAATGGAGCTCTGAGTGCTGGGGGGCAGTGCCCCTGCCCACCTTCCTTCTTCCCCACAGCAGGGGAAGCCAGCACTCCCAAGAAGGGAGCAGCTGCCCTGCTTTTCCTCCAGACCAGGCCTCTGGGCACCAGGACCTTCCCCCAACAGAGGACACTGAGCCCCACGGAGCCCTGGGGTGGGAGGCGCAGGAGCATGGGAAGGGAGCCGTCCCCTCCCCAGAGAACTGAATAAAGATTGCTGAGCAAATGAAGGCTACAGTGTGGAACCCAGGGCCTTTGGGAAAGGGAGGGCAGGGCAGGGGTGCTGGATGCTGGGGTTTCTCCTCAAGATCTTCCCTGGAAAACGGTCAGGGCACAGCCAGGTCCTGGCAGGCTGGGCTCAGGCATTGAGAATGTGTGAGTCAGAGCCTCACCCCCACCCCCGCGGCTGACTCACTCCTCCCTCCAGCTCTGGGAAGTCAGGCTGGGATCATGCCACTCTCCAAACCATTTAAAGTTAAAGATTCTTTTATTAATAAATTCTCTCCCCCTCCAAACTTTCTTCCCAAAATAAATATCTCCCCCCTTTTGGGGGTTGGAGGGGCAGTGTCTTAGGGCCAGCCGTGCTAGAGGGCCAGCCCCCTAGTGTTAGGAACAGGTCCCTAGCGCCCCAAGCTGAGACCCCGTGGTGGAATTTCAGTACATCTGAGTGGGTGGGTCCTGATGTTGTGTCTATCTCTCAGGTCAGCCTGGCCCCCAGGCCATAGTGGGGGTGGGGGGACCCTTGTGCAAATGCTGTGGTTCCTTAGTGTCAGCTGTCTGGCATGAGCCAGCCAGGGTCTCCTTTTCTATTCTGGAGCCAGAGTCAGGGCAGTCAGACACCTTGGAAGGCCCTTCTGAAGCCTGGACCCAGGCCTCAGAGAGGTGATTCGCTGTCCCCCATCCCTCCACACCCCTGTGGTTGGAGCAGCCTGGCTCTGGCTGTGTCTGGGAGGCTGGGGCTGGCTCCAGAATGAATGAATGAATGATGAGTGGGCGCAGCCTCCTGCTGGCAGGGGGCGCTCACTGTCACTGGATCAGCGCCACGCCAGGACAGCCCTCCCCGCCGGTCTCCTCGATGGGGGCTGCAAGATAAGAAGAGGGGCATCAGGAGCCGGGGAGTTGTTGAGGAATGATGAGGGGCCGTCGGGCGGGCAGGGGCACACTTACTGGTAAACTTTTCTCTCCTGCGGCACCGTCTCCAGACCAGGAATCCGGAAAGCAGCCCCAGAACGAGGGCCAGGCTCAGGGCACCCCCAAGGATGGGCCACAGCAGCCTGAAGGAGGCTGGAGGGGCCGCAGCACCTGGGGGCGGGACTCCAAGTCAGACCTCGCCCCTCTAGGGACCAGCCCCGCCCCCTAGATCGGAGCCTTAAGCCTTTCCTCCACCTTGGTCCCTACCCCAGTCAGAGCCCCTTCCTCACTCCAGCCTCTCCCAATTAATTCCACAGATCTGCTCCCCTCTCCACCCAGCAACCCTCCCCCCCAGACTGGGGTCCGCTCGCCTCTGGCCCCGCCCCCACTCACAGCCCAGGCAGAAGTCGCTGTGCGGTCGCGTGGGGCACGATGCGCAGTCCATGCACTTGTCTAGGTCCGCGCTCCAGGAGCTGCCGCGAGAGCAGGGGGTGGTGCCTGGGGAGGGGGCCGCGAGTCAGAGGCGGGGGGCGGCTATTTTTGGGGCTGAGGTCAGGGTCGGCCGGCTCGAATAACGTGAGTCACCGGCGCCCTCCCTCCACATTCCTCACAGGTGACCGCACGGCCCGACCGGGACACGGCAGCGCGGGGGAGAGGGGGGCGTAGTGCGGGACGCTCGGGGGAGTGGGTCAGGTCCCCATAACAGCCCCCCCGCCGCCGCCGGCGGGTGACTCATTCCTGGGCACCGGGCCTGACCCCGGTCCCTCCCCCCGCATAGCTGGGCACTGAAGTCACCGGATGGAAGGGGGCACCCCACATGGTATGGGGGGCACAGACCTCCGTGCCTCTCAACACCCCCCAACTCTTCGGTCAAGGGGGGGTGGGCAGACCCGGTATTGATCAGGCTGGGGGCGTGCCACCTTACCGGACGGGACATCCCTCCCTCAAACTTTTCTTCTCTCTCCACTTCCGAGTCCAGACTCAGGACCGAAGCCTCCCCCGCCCCCCAAGTTGGACAGGCGGGAAACTGAGGCCCGGACTACGGATGAAGCTGGGAGCGAGATGGGACCTCTCCTGGCCAGGGAGCGCGGTGTCTGGAGACCACCTGACCCGGGATCCCCATGTCCGCCTAGTCCCCCCAGTTCTGCCCACTCCTCTAGGCCCCCAGTGACGGCTCCCCGATCCCGGACCTGGGAGTCCTCCGTCTCCCACGCCCTCCCGCCCAGCCCGGGCCGGGCATACCTGGCACTCGCTCCCCGGCCGCGGCGCGCAGCAGCGCCAGCCCGAGCCCCAGCACGAAGAGCCGCGGCAGCGGGCGTAGCGGGCCGGGAGACATGGTGTTGTTCGTCGGGCGGCGGCTGCAGTCTGCGCTGGCCGCCCGCGTACCGGGGCAGACAGCAGCGGCCCCGCCCCCGCCTTCCGGGGCGGATCCCTAGCCTCTGCCCACCCCATGATCCACCCCTAGACGCCGGGTCCCGCCCGGACCTCTAAGTTCAGTTATTCGCTCAACAAACGCTGTCTCTGTGCGGGAGCGGCCAGAACGCCAAAGGGATGCAGATCTGGCCCTGCCTTCTCGGTGCGGAAGCCCAGGAGGTGCGTGTTGGGCGAGAGGGCGGATCTGACACGAAACAACCCAGCACAGAGAAAGCTGTTTCTTAAGGGCCCCGAGGGTATGATAATAACAATACAACAAAAATAATAATACTGTGCCCTTTAATTTGTATCTTAGGACATAGTTACATAGTAAAATGTGGGCTTGTTGTCTCCATTTTTCAGACTAAAATGAGGCTCGGGAAGGTTAGGTGAGTTCCGGAGTCGAGCCCCAAGCTCTGTTCGGCTCCATACCCTGCCCCTTGACCCACTGCTTGCCGGACTTCAGCCAGTTGATGCTCTGCACCCGGGCCAGATGGGGGAGCAGCGGCTCCAGGCTCGAGCGCCCCCCACTGACGAGGTTGGGATTCGCGCGTCCGCCGCGGTCTGGACTGGGGTCTCTGCCCCTCCCCTGGGCGGTGGTCCGGTGACGTCATTGCCTCTTTAAGACCCCCGCCTCCGCCCCAGTCCCAGCACTCCGCCTGCTACTCCGAATCTTGGTGGACTCCTTTGCAGGTGAGCCTGGGGGAAGTGTGCGTGTCGTGGGGGAGGGGGTAGGTGCCTCGAAGATAGGGGGGCAGGGGGAGTGGCGGAGTTGGGTTGGGGTGCGCGTGAAGAACCTGAACTGATTGGGCGGCAGCCACCCAGGGCCAGGAGCCCCTGGGCGGGGGGCTGCACCAAAGCCCTAATGGGGTCCTTTGGCGGAAGGGTTAAACGCCCCTCCCCCCAGCCCGGGGACAAAGGCACCGAAACCCAGGCGCCCCTCCCCCACCTGTGCTTCCCTCTGGGGCGGGGCTCCCTTCCCCCTCACCTGCGGAGCGGACCCTGCAGCTAGCGCCGCCATTAGAACCCTCCAGGGTGCGCGGCTTCCAGGCCGGGGGGCTGAGGACACCCTCCTTCGGGCCAGACTCAGAAGGGAAATAGGGATCGAGAGCGGGAGGGGACGCCCTCGGATGAGCCGAGGCCTGTAGTGCGTGGAAAGGGAAGGGGTCGAGAGCAGGGACACGCTTGTAAGGGAGAGGTGCTGGGTGCCTAGTCTGGCGTGGCCCCGGCCCTAACCCGGCCAGAGTCCTGGAGGGCTGACACTGGGTTTGGGATTAGTGCCGTACGGCCCGCCGCGTCCTATCTCCCCCCAGGTCATGAGTTCGGCCCGGGTTATGGGCGGGTGCAAATGAGTGGAGAGTCTGCCCTCTGGCCACCCTGGTGGGGCCGGTGCTAAATTTAGGTCCGAGCCGTGCGCGGGAACTTTGGGCAATGGAGAGCCACAACGGGACCCTGAACGGAAGGGATCCCCCGCGGCGACCTCCAACACGAAGTGGGATGTGTGGGGGCCAGGGCTGCCCCAGAGGAGATGTTTCACTGGACAGACCCCAAGGGTGGTAACTTCTTTTAGGGAAGTTGTGTCCTGAGAGAATGGCATTTGGGGCAAGAATACACAAAAAAATGTCACCAACCTTGGGGGTCTGCTCTGTGGCCCCCCCTAGGGGAGGACAGAAGGGCAGGAACCAGGGAGGCAGCCGGTGGCCTTGGGAAAGGAAGTGCTTTGGGGTGGGAGGGCTGTTTTTGTTTTTGTTTCCCTCCGTCTCTCCTGCCCCATCCAGGGTCTGACTGGGTGGGATTGGTTTGGGCCAGGCAGTGGCAGGCAAGGCCAGGGCTGACTGGCCACCATGTACACAAGATCTTAAGATCAAACTGGCAACCGCCTGTATGGGGTACAGAACCAAGTTGGGGTGAAGGGTTTGGACATTTATGTTGGGTGCTGGGAGGAAACTTGTATCTCTATTCTTGGTGTTAAAACTAAGTTTTAAGCCTGAAACTCATGGCTAGAGCAAACCTACCACCCATTAACCCTGTGGAAACCACCAAAAAACTGCATTCTATTGTTTCATCCCTTTTGCCCCTTTGTACCCAAAGTAGCTGAAGCCATGGGCAAGCATGTGCATAGGCTTTATATTTCATTTGCACTCAAAACAACTAGGACTGGGTTGCTTACTTTTTCACTCTTATAAACTAGTGCCTGTCTGGGGGAAAAAAAATACTAAAGCATTAAATGCTCATTTTGCCCATGAGAAAATGAGGCTCAGGGAGCATGCCTTGCCCATGTTACAGGACACGGTGTCCTGATTCCCAGGGTTCATACTCTTGGTGTCCTGTGTGGTGGCCATGGCATGTGGCATGGGGGTTAGCATTCACTGGGAACCAGAGGCTGGGCCAGCTGATCTTAACGTTACTCTGCTTCTGTCCCGCAGTGCAGCTCCTCAACCTCAACCTCACCATGGCCTCTGCTGGTCTGCAAATCCTGGGGATCGTCCTGACACTGCTTGGCTGGGTGAATGCCCTGGTGTCCTGTGCCCTGCCCCTGTGGAAGGTGACCGCCTTCATCGGCAACAGCATTGTGGTGGCCCAGGTGGTGTGGGAGGGGCTGTGGATGTCCTGCGTGGTGCAGAGCACCGGCCAGATGCAGTGCAAGGTGTACGACTCGCTGCTGGCGCTGCCCCAGGACCTGCAGGCTGCCCGAGCCCTCTGTGTCATCACTCTCCTAGTGGTCCTGCTCGGCCTGCTGGTCTACCTCGCAGGGGCCAAGTGCACCACCTGTGTGGAGGACAAGGACTCCAAGGCCCGTCTGGTGCTCATTTCTGGGATCATCTTTGTCATCTCAGGAGTCCTGACCCTGATCCCCGTGTGCTGGACTGCCCACACCATCATCCAGGACTTCTACAACCCCCTGGTGGCCGAGGCCCAAAAGCGGGAGCTGGGAGCCTCCCTCTACCTGGGCTGGGCAGCTTCTGGCCTTTTGTTGCTGGGTGGGGGGCTACTGTGCTGCACCTGCCCCTCTGGGGGGTCCCGGGGCTCCAGCCATTATATGGCCCGATACTCGGCCTCAGCCCCGCATACTGCCTCTCGGGGTCCCTCTGAGTACCCCACTAAGAATTACGTCTAATTCGGGAAGGGGAGCGTGGGCTCCCTTGAGAGTGGAGCCTAACCCTCTGAGCTGGAGCCATGGCAATGGTGATCCATGACAGCTTTGGTGTTGTTTTTGCTTTATATTGGGGGGGGGGCGGTGGTTAATCCATTTGATAACCCACCTGGGCTCTGCTACTGGCGTTCCTCACCTTTGGATGATGGAGCCAAAGAGGTGATGCTTCAGAGTTTCTGGATCTTTCTCCACCCTGGACACCCCCATCTTAGAGACCAACCTGGAGCTTTGGGTCCCATGTGAAGGGTGTTTGCTGTCCAGGTGCTTTCATCCTGTCCCCGAGAGTTCCTGCTGATGTTGGGGGTAGGGCCTCCCTAGGCCTGCAGAGACAAGCCTTCCCTTGCTGGTCAGGCCTCTGGAACCTGCAGGGGCTTTTGAGCCACGTGTAGCCTCTAGAGGAGCAGGTGATAAGTTACCAAAGACCCACCCACCTCCAAGTCTTCTGACCTCTGGCTCCTCCATCCTGAGTCATGTCCCCCCTGTGCTGACCCCTGACCCTCCCATCCCCAGCCCCTGTGCACTTCTGCCATGTCCTGCCCACACTCACCAGTTTTTACTAAATAAAGCACATTTTGTTTGGTTACTTGCCTTTGGTGTTGCTGGGGGTCTGCTGAGTGCCAGCCTGGCAGGAGGAGGTGGGCACAAGTCACTCACCTCCCGTGTTGGCCCCGTGCCTTGCGTGGCCTGAGTGAGGTTACCCACTGGTCAGGACCTGGAGCAGGCCTTGGCCAGACAAACCCAGGAGAGGCCATCAGGTCTTCCCGGCCCAACCACAGATCAAAGGAGCCGGGTTACAAATGGTCTATTTATTCCCTACTCAAGGGTTGGGGTGAGGGGGGTTGATGATGGGCAGGGCCTCCAGGCCTGGAGGAGAGTGGCTGCTCCCAGATGACCTGTCCTGGGCCTCTGGATGCTGGTAGTGGCCAGGTCAGAAGGGACCAACTCCAGGCCAGGGAGGGCATAAGGAGCTACTGCCCTTTGGGTGAGGCCCAGGTTCTGGGGGCAGAGGAGGGCCAGCCTGAAGAAGGAGACAGCAGAAGAGAGAAAATTGGGGGAAGCAGGGGCAGGCCAGGGCACCCTGCCTGGATGGAGGTGGGGACCCCACTGAGGAGGGTCTAGACTCAGTCAGGCCCGCTGAGACTAGCCCTGCAGCCGGGCTGGGCTCCAGCATCTGGAAAGTGGGTTTCACCTGGGGGAGGGATTGACAGTAGAAGGCAAGGATTAGGGCAGGGCATTCAGCACAGGGTCAAGGTTCTAAGCAGCAGGCTTCCATGGACATTCACCTCACACGTAGTCTCTCTTGTCCAGTCCAGATGCACCCGAGCGGGAGGGGATAGAGTAGCCCAACCTCGGTCCCCGGGGCCGGTCGATCTGGGGCGGGGGGCATGTGCAGCAGAGGAGGCCCCCGCCCAACATAAGCAGGGCAGATGCCGCCCAGCCCAGGTAGAGAGAGGCTCCCAGCTCCCGCTTGAGGGCCTCAGCCACCAGGGGGTTGTAGAAGTCCTGGATGATGGCGTGGGCGGTCCAGCACACAGGGATGAGCACCAGGATGCCTGAGAGGAGGAGGATGACCCCCCCGGTGAGCACAATGCGGGCCTTGGCGCCTTCATCCTCCACGCAGGTGGTACACTGTGCACCCGTGATGGCCACCAGCAGGCCAAGCAGAGCCAGCAAGAGGGCGATAACGCAGAGGGCTCGGGCAGCCTGCAGGTCCTGGGGCAGCGCCAGCAGCGAGTCGTACACCTTGCACTGCATCTGGCCGGTGCTCTGCACCACGCAGGACATCCACAGCCCCTCCCACACCACCTGGGCCACCACAATGCTGTTGCCAATGAAGGCGGTCACCTTCCACAGGGGCAGGGCACAGGACACCAGGGTCCCCAGCCAGCCCAGCACAGCCAGGGTCATGCCCAGGAGTTCAAGAGCAGTCGAAGCCATCTGTCCCCTCAGTTAGGTCTTCCCAACTCTAGGAGGCCTGGTTGATTTGCAGGAGTGGGTCCGATGCTGCGGAGCGTTAAGTCAGCCTCCTCTGACCAAGACAGTCCTCACATCTGTGAGCCTCTGGCAAGGCACCTCCTCGCTCCGTGCGCCTCACAGATGTGTCTCTGAACCTCCACAAACACAAATCAACCTCAAGTCCTGCTCAGCTGAGCGGCTGGTGTCCCTTCGAGGGGCCCGTCGCCCCTCAGATGCCCAGCGGCTGCTCCTGCCACCCTGCAGTCAGGTCCCACCGCCGCCTGTCTGACCCAGCTTGCACGGACCCTCCCGACCCACCTTCAGGCTGAAGAGAGATGTGTCCCCAGAGTTGGTGCAGGTTCACGCTGAGCGGCTCACCTGGCAGTGCCACCTGGGGACTCTGCTGGCTCCCGGTTGCAGGCGGGGTTTTAAGGCCAAGGCAGGGGAGGAGCAGAGAGGCCGAGACTGGGGAAGCCAGAGTGATGGGAGGAGGCGGGGCTGGGGATGGGATGGGGGCCTCAGGGTCAGTGCGGGGGTGGGTCATGACCAGGATGGAACAGGGGAAGAAAGAACATCCATGCCATAGGAACCCATGGACAAAGGAATGGGGAGACTGAAGACCGGCTGTGGAGGAAGGAATGGGGGCCATAAAGGAACTGGCTCAGGACAGAAGTGGGAGGGTATCTTGGGGAGCCTCCTGTCCCCCGCCCGCCGCTGTCTCTGCTCTCCCCCACCCCGTGATGCAAACGCACCAGCTTCCCCAGTATCACACACCCCGCCCCTGTCCAGCTGCCCGCCAACCGGGGACTCTCTGGAATCTGATCCGTCTCCCCGTCTCAGCCCAGTGGCGCTGGCGGCTCCCGAGGGAGGGGCCCTGCCCGCACTGTTCCCCAGCAACAGGTGCCTGGCGCTCAGCTCAGGTGGCATCACCCAGGCAATGGCCTAGAAAACCACCACCCCCAACTTCTACATCAGCTCAGGTGTGCCATCCCCACCCCTGCTGCTGAAACTGGGGGCTGAGCTGAGGGTGTCTGGGGGCCAGGGACAAAGAGCCCGTTGTGCAGGTGGGGGAGGGGGAAGGGGGAGAGTAGCAGGGGCGTGAGCCCTCCGTGGGGGTGCAGCCCCAGCACCCAACTCTGTTCCTCGGGGAGTGGGACACCACAGAGGAGGGCGTCCCTGAGCCCTGCCCCACAGTCCTCAGGAAAGACACCCCTCCTGAAGACCCCCTCAGAGCCTGTGACTCCCCACGTGGGGGCAGCCTGGAAGTCACACAGACCATGGCTCAAATCCTGCCCCCAACCCGGGGCCAGTTCATGGAAGGTCAAGGTCCTTAGCCTCCTTGGGTCAAAGGTCCCTTTGAGAAGCGCACAAACAGGAGCCCCTCATTTGGGGCAGGCCATGAGCTCCTTCAAGGCCCTCCCTGGGTGCTAAGAATTGAGGATTACTGTGTGAAAAGGGAGTTGGGGGCTGATGAAAATTCCACTCTCCAGGGTGGTGGAGAGGACCCCCGGGGGAGAGCCTCTCCACCCGCCCTCCTCCTGAGGAAGCTGGAGCTCACCTGGCCTGTGGGGGCAGGGGTGGGAGGCCCCCCAATGCACACCTGGTCGCTGCACCACTCTACGACCCTGAGGGAGGGGAGGGGTGCTAGGTGCCTCCTCACCTACCCAGTGGGGCTTCATTTATAAAGGATTCTAATTTCAAGTGGCTGCATTGCTTCTGGGAATGGGTTTTAGCAATTTTTTGGAAGAGAGGTTTATAACTTCATCAGATTTGCAAAGGGGTGGGTGCCCCAGAAAAGCACAAGAACCCCTCCCCCTAAAATGGAACAACTGAGGCCAGTGCCAGCCAGTGGGTCTGATAGGCGGACGCCAATGATTGGAGCTTTCTCCACACTGGGTGCCTCCCCAGAGAGGGGCAGAGATCAACTGGTATGGGCTGACCTGGTGGCCCCGGCCTGAAGACGGGAGGAGGGTGCTGATGCTAGCTGGCTGGGAAACGGCCAGAGCTCCCTGCTGGCTGTGATGGGCAGGGGGAACCCTGGGCAGGTTGTCCAGCTCATCTAGTGCCCCCTCACGCCCCCAGGCCTCAGATTTCATGGGGGTAGGTGGGTGGTTGAGAAGAAGGGCAAATAGAGGCAAGCCTTCAGTGGGCTCCCTCTGGGGCCACCAGGAATCCAGTCACACAGGTTTGGGCAGGCAGGTGTCAGGGAGCAGCAGCCAGCCCGGATCTCTGGAGGGCCCACCGAACTGCACAAAAGGCCTCCCATCCTGGTCAGCCTCAGCCCAGGGCCTTTTCCTTCCCCAGGCCTGGAGAGAGTCTGCCTCCTGCCTTGGGCATTAGGTCACCAACTCATCCTGATTTGCCTAGTACATTCTTGGTTTGAGCACTGAGTCCTTTGTAGGGGGGTCGCGGGGGATGGGGACAGTTGGTCAGCCTGCAATTGGGCCTTGCTTTAAGGGCCCACCAGTTCCACGGGCAGCTCCAACCCCCTCCCCCCAACGTCGTGATGGGGCCTGGTGTGGGCACTACACACCAGGTAAACGTGGTGCCCAGAGATGGCACAATGAGGACCCTAAACTTCTTAGATCCCATTTCCTCTTCGGCCCGACATGTCTACACTCTACCCCTGCACTGCCACACGGGAGGTGGGCGGTCAGAGGATGAAGACACCCCTCTCGCCGCCGCCCCCAGAAACCAATCCCAGCCAGACCTGCCTCCGGGCACGGGGCAGCTTCAGCTTCCTCCCACCTGTCTCCCTTTTCCCCGTCTTGATAAGGCGCCTCCTCCACAGCCTAGACGGAGAGTAAATGTGGGGACATTTGTCAGAGAACTAGGAGAGGCACACTGTGTGTGTGTGGGGGGGATGGGCAGCAGAGGTCAGAGTCCCAGGGCACCTGGGCAGGAATGTACTGCCCACCCTCAGCTCTCAGCCCTCCTTAGGCCACGGCTGGGAGGCCCCAGGCCCTCTCTTAGGTCCTCTGGTCAACCTGGATTCAGCTGGATCTGGGAACCAAAGGGTTAAAGTTGGGGCCTAGGCTGGGCCTGGGACTCGGGCTGGAAAGCTATGGACAGGAGAGGCCGGGACCCCCACTGTGTAGTTACCATCTCAATGACACTATACCGAGTCCGCAGGAAGCCCCACCTCATCCGCCACCTCCTGGGAAAGAGGTGGGGGAGGAGAACCTTCCCCGCTGTACCACTGAGGGAGGAAACCAAGGAAGTGGAGGGGGGCTTGTCCTCCTCACCCCTTCAGGGAGTGACAGAACCGAAACTAACCTTTGTTCTCTCTGGGAGGGAGGAGGGGTGGGAGGCTCAGGTGGGCAGAAGAGACTGCAGCTCAGCTTAGATGAAGGTGAAGTGGGAGGGGGTTAACTCCAATCCTATTGTCCATCTCGCTCCCCTTACAGGGGAACAGGACAAAAGAGGGGAACTGACTGTGGCCACCATGGTGCCAGGAAGGGTATGGAGGTAGCTATGGGGGCTGCACAACAACCCCAAAGGCTGCATTGCCCGTTTCCCTGGGGAGGCACCTGAGGCCCCGAAGTTGCAGGTAGAAAGCCCCTGGCTCCTGAACCAAAAGGAAAAGAGGAAACACTGACATCCCATAATAATTCTCAGGGACTCACG